TCCGGATCACTGATGACTCTTAGAAAGGAGGGACTCTGTTATTCTGGTTCACTGATGACCCTCAGAAAGGAGGGTCTCTGTTAGTTTGGCTCACTGATGACCCTCAGAAAGGAGGGTCTCTGTTAATCCGGATCACTGATGACTCTTAGAAAGGAGGGACTCTGTTAGTCTGGCTCACTGATGACCCTCATGTAGGAGGAGAGAGATTAATCTGCAGCTTAAACCCTGAAACGCCAAACTCTCCTGGTTTTACTGAAAAAAATTCATTGGATGAGAAGAGAAACATCTTCATCTACAAATCAGAAGTCCAGTTAATTTATTTTCAAAACATTTTAGATTAGTTAAAACCCGTAACAAGCATTTGATGTTTCTCTGAATCATGGTGAAACTGAAATTACAAATTTAACTATGGTTTATTTGACACAAATGAACACTAATTTGTATATTTCCATGCAAAATGATATGTCAGATAGTGTATTAATCTGTATTAATCACTGTAGTTGGATGTGAAGAATCCTTGGACAGAGGGAGATAAAACTCATCTTTTGGTTCTTTGTTAACCTTTAGTAAAAAGTGTTTGTGTTATAAGCAAAAATAGAGAAATACTGTTAAAATACTGAGAAAGAAAGTAAAAATAACTTTGAAGTCTAACTTGGAGCACATGCAGTTTGTATCTCTAATCATCAGTTTAAAAAACACATGTTCTAGTTTGATCAGAGAAACAAATCAAATCAACCATGTTCAGTTCAAATCTTTTTTTTATATGGCACCAAGTCTAAAAAGCCCATTCAAGTCAAATTCTAATGCAATTCACACATTCAGGACATTATGAAGTATTTTTCCAGGATGTAATTATTAAAAATCTGTTTTACCTCATAGTAACAGTACATGAAGCGTGTTGAAATAATAAACAGCTGTAATTAGCAGCTGTTCTTGTAGAATAATTTAAAAAGAAAAACCCTGTCATGAAGCTAATTTGCAGTTAATGTGAAACCTGAAGACATGTCTGATGGTTGCAGGTGGAACAGTCCAAGGTTCTGGTGAAGGAAGGAGGGGTGCATCTTCTGCTAACCATCGTGGACACGCCTGGCTTTGGGGACGCTGTGGACAACAGCAGCTGGTGAGCTCATCTGTCACTGCTGACCTYTGTCAAAACACAACAAATCTGTTTGATAAGTCTTAAAAATGAGTAGATGTAATTAAGATTAAATGTAAACGCTGGACCTAACAAGCAGGTCAGATAATAATTKAATTGTTTCTGATTACACCAGAACTTCAGAATCACATGCTAACACATGTGGCATGTGTTGTTACTTCCTCAAAGCCTGCTGTGTGACGTCACTTCTTCACCTGTGCAACACGGGTCCCTCTGAAATGTTAACGATTCATAGTAAAGGCAAAACGATGTCATACTTTTTAATAGATGAAACCTTTGAATTGAAACATGTTTCAGTGTGGTTGTAAGTGTTTAACTGTCACCTCCTCAGCTGGCAGCCTGTAATCGATTATATCGACTCCAAGTTTGAGGATTTTCTCAACGCAGAATCACGCGTCAACAGGCGACAAATGCCAGACAACAGAGTGCACTGCTGCCTGTATTTCATTGCTCCGTCAGGACATGGGTAAGTGCCGCAGAGTGACCACACAGCGCTGGAGTCCTGTCTCTTCAGGCATGTTCAAAGACAATAGTTGACAGAATGGTCAGAGAGYCAACACAGACATGTCCTACTCATCAGGACTAAGTGTCTAAATAGTTTCTGAAGCTGCTGGTGATGGTGAGCTGGTTTCCAACAAGGCTTCAGGCTACTAGAAGCATCAAAGTTGATCCTAAACCATTTCCACTGAAGTTGGCAGTGTGTTGGTGTTTGTGGCAGACACCACAGGGACACCAGTCTGCAGCCACTGATCAACACTGTCAAACAGGATGCTTCTGGTTTTCCTGCTCTTTGCAGAACTTCCTGCCAAACTACCCAAAGACCATGTTCTAACCAACCATAAACTTCTGTCTGAGCTGTGCTCACCTGAATGAAAACATTAGTACTGTAACAAACTTTTCAGTCAGTTTACATTAAAAGAACAATGTTAGTTGAATTTACATGCCAGAAACTCTACTGTGTACCTCTACCAACTGAGTAAAGATTAAATCTGTAGTAAATCWTTCWCASGGTTCCYRCRGATCCTTAAAAAGTCTTAAAAGGCCTTSAATGCATCAATGCAAAAATAAGGCCTTAATTAGCCTTAAAAGGTCTTAAATCAGTCTTCAGAAGTCTCAAAAATGTTAACACATTGTAAATAAAATGACTGTAATTCATCTCAAATATTAAAATAATTGGTAACATTTATTTATTTTGAAATATTCCCATTCAGATGTTTCCTTTTGACATCACTTCCTGTTATTTCACATGCAAATATCTCAACAACTGTCCATCTGAGCAATGTGAAATTTGTTTTCTAATGTTAATACGTTGTAAATAGGATGATTCATCTCAAATATTAAAATAATTGGTAACATTAATTTAATTTTGAAATATTCCCATTCAGATGTTTCCTTTTGACATCACTTCCTGTTATTTCACATGCAAATATCTCAACAACTGTTCTTCTGAGCAACGTGAAACTCGTTTTCTGATGTTAAYAATGTTGTCTTTACAAAAATGCCTTCATATTTCTTACAAAAATTTGATGTCACAGGCACTTTAAGGTTTTATCTACAGCAAGCTAGGGTTGAGAACCCACTGTGGGTCATAAAACTACAAATTAAATTCCAGGAATTAAATTGTTTAAAAATGACTATTTTTTTGCTATATTTGACAAAACAACAGTTAAATATGGATAAAAATAATTGGTCATTTAGCAATATTTGAATAATTCAACCAAAAATACTGTGATTTGTGAGTTTCTGCCACAGTTTAATTATTATTATTATTATTATTATTATTATTATTATTATTATTATTATTATTATTATTGTCATTTGTGTTTATTGTGAAATTTGTCTTAAATTTGATTTCACTTGGCATTAAAAAGTCTTAAAAAGTGTTAAAATTAACTTTCCTTAAATTGTAGGAACCCTGCATTCAACTCTTTAACGATTTAATCAGTACTGCTAACAACGTTAATGAGAAAATAYGTTTCCTTTGTGTTTGTGTCCATTTAATTTCTCCAGGCTGAAGCCTCTTGATACAGAATTTATGAAGCGATTACATGAAAAGGTAAACATCATTCCCCTCATCGCCAAAGCTGACACGCTGACTCCTGAGGAGTGCCAACAGTTCAAGAAACAGGTTTGTGTTTATCATTTCTGCACCAAGGAAGGATTATCTCTGTTTTTCTTTCTTTACTTTTAAAGACTTATGTAATGTTTATTCTGTTCTATTTTTATTAAGACTTCTTGTTTTGTTCCTGTTTTTATTGAGCAGGCTGGATATAAATTAGACTCTGAAGGGATTTACGGGATGCTGCTTATTCACTGCGCACCTAAACATGACAATACTTTATCAAGAGCCAGAGGAAAAGTTCAAAACATATTAAGTTTTGCCATTAAATCAAATCCTAAATACAAGCAGATGCAAAAAATACATTTAGTATTACTTACAGTAAGTGTGTCACTAAATGGTAAAAATGGATTCTATATAATTTACTCCTATAAGTCCAACCAGGATACTCAAAGTGCTTTGCAACACAATGGGCCTCATGCAAGAACATGTTTGTATTCTTATCCTAAATTTCTCATAGTTTTGTTCGTATGAAGGGTTCGTACGAACATGTCACGTCAGATTCAACAAACTCTTCTATCTTCAGGAAAASTGTGTAAATGAGCTGCGTAAACTCATGAATGTGTATCAGCTGCACGAGGAGAGGAGATTAGCATAAATACCACACTAAAAACACCATATAAGGMTACATTTCCTGCCCCACACACCAGGAAGTGTTCATTCATAAATGACATCGCAAAGTAAAAAGCAGAACTTTATGAGTTCGGAGACTGAAGTCCTGCTCTCAGAGATCCAGAAAAGAAAATCTGTCATTTTTAGCAGCGTCAGACCTGCTAAAGCAGAGGAATTACATGACGGCTGCTGTTAATATTGTGTCTCCTGTGTGTCGTTACAGTCACAGAAATAAAAATCTAAATCATATTATCTCTCTCTGTAGCCCTACTCTAGTTTTCCTTTGGTCAAATATTTTTAATTTCAGTGTAAACAACTGTGTTACATAGTTTTTATTTATTCAAAAAAAGAGCAGTCGCACACAGCTACACCTCCCCCCACCACCACCACCACCCCGGCCTGACCGTCTCCCCCTTCCAGACTGTCGCATGTCAGATGCGTTTCAGAAAAAAATTATTTTAAAATGTCTCTAAACTTCAATTAATGCATAACTTAAGATGGTTTATAGTTTGAGATCTTCAAATTAATATTGTAGTGTTATACAACAGCATTTATAGCCAATTTAATTTAGTTTAACCAATTTATGTCATTATTGTATTTAAAATCTAATTCCAGTTCAAACAGAATAACCTATTGTCAACATAATTATGGAGTGTGATTTATTTTAAACTGAAAATATCTTGAAACTAATGAAATATAAAGTTCTTAGTGAAGAAAACCCATCTGGATAACAGCAGACTGACTG